CAAGAACTAGAGAGGAATGTCAGGTCAATAAGTCACTGTAGGATAAAGTTCAAGAGGAAAGCCCAGGCAGGGACACAGAGATCAGAGTGGGCCTGGAAGCATCAAGAGGATACTCGTCCGCACAGGTTGCTAACAGGGTATAGACTTTTTTAAGGGAATGTCTGGTTTGAAATGATCTTAATTCTGGCAGAGCTGGAGAACAGCATGAACTGGGACAAGTAGCCTTAATAGAGTATTCAGATCAAGAAAGATAACGGATCTACTATACTTTGAATTGGTACTACCACTGCTGTGGAAAAAAATATTTAGTAAGGACACAGTAGTTATCTTAAGGGTTGACATATAGCTATGATATGTTGATCCACAGAGAAAAAATAGGACCAATAAATGGAAGTTACAAAGAGATAGATTTTTCTAAGTACAGAAAGGGGCTTTTCTAATCACTGAGAATTACAGTTAGTTGAGAACTATAGCACAGGACGTAGTGGAAATAGAGCATGTGAAAGGTAGCTGAAGGATGTCAGGTTAAAGAGTTAGTGAAGGAAGAGATAATGGTGGGAATAGAGTGTGTTGAGAAGCAGAAAAGCATGGGAATCAGCGTCAGGCTGAAGGGGCCAGTCTTTGAAAGCTGGAGGGAGTTTTCTCCACTGAGGTTCCAAGGAAGAGACAGGAATTGATGTAAAGGAAGGGATGTGAAAGACAGAGGACTTTGAGTAACAAGAAAATCATACACAGGGTTCTCAATCTTCTCAGTGGAGTTTTCTCAAGTTTTTAGATGAATCAAGGAGAGGATGGAAAAAGAACATAAGGCAAAAGAGGAAGTTTTTGCTGTAACTATTGATGTATAGTTTAAGCCAAGGGGGAACAGGTGTTTAGCTATGGCTAATGAAAAATCTTTAAAGTGTTTGAAAGATTTCTATGCCCATCTCTACACAGGTCTCCTTGGTTTAGCTAGTTGTTACTCCATTTCACCTCAGGAAATCTGCTCAGCTCTCTTATTGGCATTATGATCTCTTCAGCACCTATTAAATCTCAAGTGAACTCCCAGGGCCACTCAAACAGAAAACACTCCTACAAATGCAACCATGAGTGGACTGATTAGCTTAGGAACAGCTGGCCAGACAATGTCTGTCCCAACTGTCTGGAATTCGTAAAATTTAGTTGTTAAGGTATAGCTCCAGGGAAAAAGATTGAGTCCTACGAGTCCTGTAAAGGCAGAGGGATTATTTTGAAAGGCTGATGAAGACAAATCCCAGCCCTTCCTTTACCTTTCCATTCTGAGTGAAGAGGGCAATGTGTTTTTGCCCCCATAGGCTGCAATGAGTGGACTGGACACCACACTATTAGAGAAGGCCGTCTTCAGTATGGACTTTTCTTTCTAATCCTCTAAATGGGGTTGGGTTAGCTTTGGAGAGGAGAGGTGGGCTCACAGAAAGGAATTACTACCATGATGCCAAGATTACTACGTGTCAAACCACTTCAGAATATGGATACGGAGAGAATATGATTCTATTTTAGGAAGTAGTGCCTGTGCCTGCCTCTTTCGTGGACTTATGTGGGTGGGGCACATCCCACTTCCATACACCATGGCTACCTCTGTCCTGATGACTCTTCCTCTAGGAAAAGCTAGGGAGCAATCTGTGAGGAAAATTAGGATATAGGGGAGGTTGTTTACAAAGGAACAGAGTTGCAGTGGGTATAGGGGGAAAGATGGGTAGGGTAGAAATTTTTGGCTTTTTCTAACGGACACTTCTTCCCTCAACCTTCTAAAATAGAGGCTGTTCATTCTAGCACTCCTGTAGGAAAGGGTGACAGAGTATCATCCTTCTCTTTGCTATCCACTGCTACTTTTAGACTACTGTGCTTCCATCCTCTTGCAAAAACTCTTCCCTCTTTAAGCTTATGCCATTTGGCTCAACTACCCTTTAGCCCTCAAGCTTACTGAGGACTTCAGCACCTATTAAATAACCTCTCTGTGCCAACTCTTCCTATCTTTCAAGGTGGTTTTAGGAAAATCCATGTGATCCCTAGTTACTTCCTGACCTCCTCAACTCCAATTTATACTCCTACTTTCAAATCCTTAACTTCACATTTTGGCAACACAGGTTTTTCTTGATGGCAGCTTCAAGGCCATAGTAAGGAATGGGAGAGGTAGCATTCTTGAGTGTGGAAACACTGATGATGCCAGAGCTGGCTGGTGTTGACTTCAAAACCCATTGAAAGACTGGGACTGGCAGCCACGATGCATAAGGGTGGAATAGCATGGGGGTCAGATTCCACATGATACTTGGGGGAAGGTTCAAGATCTGGATTTCACCTTTGTGCCAAGCTTCCAGGAAACCTGGGTCTGGAGCTAAAAGCACCTTTCCTGTTAGCTGTCTTTCTGGAGCCATCTAACACTTTTAACGACTTCCATCCTCTTGAAACACTCTCTTCCCTCTGATTTTGTGCCAATTTATCACCCAGTTTTTGTTCTTCCTTATTGGCTATTCCTTTTCAAAGATTCTCCAGTGGCTCTTCTTCTACTCGTGCCTTAAATGTTGGAATTCCCCAGAGCACTCTTCTTAGCCCTCTGCTGTTCTCTGGGGAGCTTCTATAAATCTATGGCTTCAACTACCACTGAGATGTTCGTGATTCAAAATTTCTGGCTACAGCCTATGGCCATACTACTCTGATACATCTGATCTCATCAGAATTTCTGGCTATATACATTGAAGTTTTTAAAAAGTACTTTTCTATAAAAGTAATATACATACACAGTAAAACCAATCCCAACTGTAAAGACACATCTAAAATAAAAAGTATACGTTTCATCCCTCCTAGGCCCACTCTTCATGGTTAACTTTTCAATGCCCATGTAAATGTGCCATATGTATTCTTCTGCACTAGCTTTTTTCCGGTTTAATATATTTTTTCTCCTACATTTTATTTTTTATTTAAAAAAATTTTATTTATTTACTTTTCCCCCAAAGCTCCAGTAGATAGTTGTATGTCATAGCTGCACATCCTTCTAGTTGCTGTATGTGGGACACGGCCTCAGCATGGCCGGAGAAGCAGTGCGTCGTGTGCAGTGTGCGCCCCGGGGACCGAACCAGGGCCGCCAGCAGCGGAACCCACGCACTTAACCTCTAAGCCACGGGGCCGGCCCTCTCCTACATTTTTTTTTTTTTTTTTTTAAGATTTTATTTATTCATTTTTTCCCCCCAAAGCCCCAGTAGACAGTTGTATGTCATAGGTTCACATCCTTCTAGTTGCTGCACGTGGGACTCGGCCTCGCGTTGGACCGAGAAGTGGCGCCTTGGGGCTTGCCCGGGATCCGAACCCGGGCCGCCAGCATCAGAGCGCGCTCACTTAACCGCTAAGCCACGGAGCCGGCCCTCTCCTACATTTTAGATCTGTATATTCAACTGCCATTAAGACATCTCCATCTGGCTGCCCCACAGGCACCTAAAACTCCTTCCCTTTCTCTGGAATTCTCCCTCATTCTACTGTTAGCCTCTTTTTACAGTCAACACCATTAAAAAAATTGTCTTTATACATTGTGCCTTTCCAGACACACTTTACCTCAGTCTGGTTTCCAGCCCACCGTATCTCTGAAACAGCTTTCTCCAAAATTACTAAATGACTTCCTTGTTGCAAAATCCAATGGACACATTTTAGTCCACATCTTACCTGATCTGTAACGTTTAACACTTTGACCAGTTTCTTTGATATTTCTCTCCTGGTTACATTCTTTCCTTTCTGTTTGCCCCTGCTCAGTGTTCTCTTTTCGGCTTCTTTCCCTCATCTCATCCCTCAAAGGCAGATATTCCTCTCACTAGGCCATCTTATCCACTTCCACGACTTCAACAACCATCCATATTCACAGGCACTCGAGCGCACACCCCTCAAACCTTTCTTTTGGGTCCCCAACCCAAATTATCTAATATTCAGTCGTCTAATAGATATCTCACAGGCACCTAAAACTCATTCTCTCCCCCAAACAAAAAAGAAAATGGCATCATTATTGCTCAGTTGCTCAAGTCAGAACAGCGGGAAATATCTGGGATTCCTCCCTCTGCCTTATTCTCATTTCCCATCTATTTTCCCCGTCTGCACTTCCCTTTCTATTGGAGAGAACACAGTCGTCTCTTGCCTAGAAAAGATCTTCCCAATTGTTCTCCTTGTCTCTAACTTCGTCCCTTCTAATCCATTCTCCCCACGGCAACCAGTGATCTTTCCAAAATCCAAATATAATTTGTCACACCTCTGCTAAGACTCTTCAATGCCTATTCATTGCCCTTAGGATAAAATCAACTAATTTACAAGGCCTTGCGTAAACCGGCCCCTCTCAATCTCACAGGCCTCATCTATTATCTCTCTTAAAACCACACCAGGATACTAGCGGCTCCAGAAAGTACCCAGCCCCCACCCCCCAATCCCAATAGTCCAGGATTCAGCTTAGGAGACACTTCCTTCAGGAAGCGAGTGCTCAAAAAGCAAATGCTCAAAGCATGAAATCCGAGAGGGCACCTGAGCAGCGCTTTCTGCTCCAGACCCAGGTTTATGGAACGTCCGGGTTACCAGGAAGCTCAGAGCAAAGGTCAAATCCAGATCATGAACCTTCCCCCAAGTTCGCGGGGCCAGCCGACCCCCGTAATATTCCGCCCTTATGCGTCATGGCTGCCAATGCCAGTCTTTCGATGCGTCTTGAAGTCGACACCAACCAGCTCTGGCGCCACCAATGTTTCTAAACTCAAGAATGCAATCCTCTCTCATTACTACGGCCCTGAAGCCGCCGTCCAGAAAAACTTGCGTTGCCAGCTTGCCCCAAAGCAAGATGGCTGCCATTGTCTATTCTCTCCTCCCGAAGTGAAGCTATCCACTCCCCGTTTAACGCCGCTGCCAGGCTGCCCTCACCTAGCATGGCTACTCCAGCTCATGCCTCACTATGGTCTCGAAGCCACCACGAACCGGCCAGGTTCCGGGAGGCGCTGTTCAGGATGCAGCCACCCCCGCCCGCCTCTCCCCTCCCCCACGCCCGCGGCGGCGGCGGCGGCGGCGGCGGCTGGAGCCCGGATGCGGCGCGGTGAGACAGCCCCGGGAGAGCGGCGCGGATGGATCCAACATGGCGGCGCCGAGTCTGAGCCGAGAGTGAGGCGGCGGGGCGGCCGGAGTGGGGAGGGGGAGTCGAGCGGGACGGGGCGGGGCCGGGCGGGGCCGCAAAGGGCTTGGGGAAGGAAAGTGGAGGGGGAGGCGGTGGCGACGTCCAGCCTGAGCACCTCAAGAGAGGGAGGTGACGGGACGCTGCGAGGTGGGGGAGGGGAGCGGCCGAGGGGGGCGTGCGGGGGAGGTGGCAACTGTGGCAGAGGGCAGGGGTCGAGGCGGAGGAGGGGGGCATGGGGAGGGGCGTAAACAAGGGCCGAGGCTGGGCCAGGCTGGGGGTATTAGAGAGGCCGAGGTGGGGAGTGGGGCTGCGATCCCGGCGGGTTGAGGGGGGTAGGAGCGGGATTGAGGGGCTGAGGGTGAGAAGGGGAAGGGGGCTTGTGGCTTGTGGTTGGGAGGAGGACGGGACTCTGAAGGGTGTTGGGAAGAGGTGGGAAGAGGTGAGAATTGGACTTAAGACGTTTGGGGGAGGTTTTGAAAGTGTTAAATTGGAGGTGGGAGGGGGAAGGGCCTAGGGGAGAATTTGGGTGGAAAACGAGAGAACGGAGGTTTGGGGAATGGAGAGCGTGTCGGTGTGACGAGGTAATGGAGAAAGTGAGAGACTAGGAGGAAAGTTTGGGAGGAAAGGGAATGGGATGGGAGATAGGACAGTGGAGCTGCACGGGTGGTAGAGGTTCGGGGGTTTCCCTTTCCCCTGTGGAAAGGAAGAGAGAGCAGAGTTAAGCACCATCGGTTGCAGCCAATTCTAATTGCTAGGCCTTTAGCTTTTAATGGGGTGGGAAGGGCAGAAAGGAATGGTCATGTGGGTTTGGAGAATTGGGGTTGGATGAGGGTTCAACTGGATTTGCTTTCCAAAGGCTCTCTAGCTTACTGCTCCCTTGTTTTTCCTGGTTACGAGAAGAACGGAAAATGGGGAAGCTGGTGTCGCCGCCAGTGTGTGGAAGGAGTAAAGGACTTTTGTAGTTTTTAGCAATTAGCAATGCAAGAATGGGGAAACAGCCATGCTCTGTTGGAGCCGTATACGCTAAGGTGGAGGCTCTGGAAGTCTGAGAAAGGGAGCAGAAAACACAGGATGGCATCTAGGCAGCCAGGCTAATTAAATGAGTGTTTTAGTTTCCAGACCCTTCTTTTGCTGCTTAAGTGCTAGGAGGGAGGGATCGGTATTCATAGACAGAAAACATTTCCTGGTGAAATGTAGATGTATGAGGGGATGCTGCCCTGGTGGATATTTTGTTCTCACTGTGTGCTAGGTAAGGGAAAGGGCAAAGATAGAATTTGGAGGATAGTTCTGGTCTGAAAAGGGAGGTGATGGAAAGAAAGTGCTTTCTTTTGCTGTAACCACTTTCCTCCCACTTCTACCTAAAGTTGAAAGTCAAGGTTAATATTGTAACAAAATAGGTGAGTTTCATAAGGAATTGAGGAGTCAGGTGAGAAGCTGTCAGAGGATAATTGGTTTTCCCACAAGTTGTTGAATTTGGGACCGTTGTTGCTATGAGCCATTGAGGCTGGAAATTCTCAGAGTTGGTATTGTCTTGTGAATTGGCTAGTAGAGAGGTAGGGAAGCCTGGGACTTTGTTGAGGGTGAGTTCTCTCATTTAGCTTGGAGTAGATCATTTCAACAGAAACGGCTTTAGGCTTGTCTGTGTATTTTTGGCAACTGAGATTGACTAACGCTTTGGGCCTGTGAGGTTTCAAAATAAAGCTTGAAAATTGACTCTCTTTTCCCCCTTATTTGTTTTTGTTTTGCTGCTGGCTTTGAACCTTGTGCTAGGAAGAGACCTGGGAAATTAAGTTTCTTGCCGAGGTAAGTCTGGAACTTTTTATTGCTTTCAAACGATGGAAGGGAATAGAAATGCATGGCAGTTCAGCCCAGTAATGGGGTAGATGCCGGGGAAAATGAGTTTCAGCCACCTAGCTGAGGGCGTAAGATCTGTTGCAGTCACTGTCTCTTTGGGTTACTAGAGATTGGTAGGAGGGAAAGAAGAGCAGAAATTAGGTGTTTGGGGGCAAGCCCCCAGCTTTGTTTTGTTGTTATCTAGTCTTCTTGGTTAGCTCTGAGAGAAACATTTATTTTTATTTTAACATATGCAACATTGTACTCTCTAGTACAGTGTCTACTAAATACTACCCTTGGAGGGTCGCTGAGGTGCCTTCGATGGGAAGGCTTTTCCTCTAGCTTACTCTTTTTCTAGTTGTTCAGGGTTCCTGGAATCTTCCTTTTGAAAACATACTTATGTAATTCTGACTTCCAGATACTTGGTTACATTTTCCTATCCCACCAGGAAGAGGGTTCTTTATGTACTCTTAGCCATCTTTAAGTTTTCCATGTTGTTTTCATTTCAAGTTTCAAGACATAACTCTTTTTTAGTTCTTCCACATGACTTTCCTCTTTAAGAGCTTCTGAGAGAGTCAAATACCTCTAGTCCTGTGAAGATACAGATATCACCCCTGTTGGGATGAAACTAGACTATCGTTTTCATTTCAAGGCATCACTCTTGATTATTTCTTCCACAGGACTTTCCTCTAAGGGCTTCCGAGACAGTCAGATACCTCAAAAAATACAGATATCCTCCCTGGTTGGGGTGAGACTACACTTTGCTTGGAAATAGAAACCTAATACAGAATGACCAATCAAGAGGAAATCCTGTAGATACATACAGACTGTCCATTGGCCCTTGACTGGCTTGGAGCTTCCTAAAGAAAACAAACAAACAAACAAACTACAACTCTAGGAAATGCTGCAATTCATCAGAATAAAGAATTATTCTTGGGAAACTGTAGGGGGGACCCATATGTTAGGATCTCAAATGGACTCAAACCAGCCAGCGGGATCAGAACTCTTGTCTACTGGAGTGTTTGTCTCTTGGTATCTGGCAATATTTCAGACACCAAGACTCAAGAGTTCCTTTTGATCTTCTGTTTATTTTTTTATTTTTATTTTTTTGTGAGGAGGACTAGCCCTGAGCTAACATTCGATGCCAATCCTCCCCTTTTTTCTCGAGGAAGAGTGGCCCTGAGCTAACATCCGTGCCCATCTTCCTCCACTTTATATGGGACGCTGCCACAGCATGGCCTACCAAGCGGTGCATCGGTGCACGCCCGGGATCCAAACCTGCGAACCCGGGCCGCCGAAGCAGAGCGCGCGCACTTAACCACTTGCGCCGCCGAGCCGGCCTCCTGATCTTCTGTTTAGAGGGGGTACATTCTTCTCGCTACTCTGATACCTTTCATCTAGGATCACTGTATAATTTAAGCTGAGTTCCCTTACTTCACTGCCACAGAAAGCTGAGTATATTTTGGTTTAAGAGGAAGTTGGCCTCGTTCTTTTAATGCTGAAGTTCAGTAGATTCTTGGAACCCCTATCTGGATTGCTGAGTGAGTGAACTCACCATCCTAGACGATAATTAAGTGGGGAAGGCTGCCTACTAGCCTATATGCCAGCCTTCTGACAGTTCTCCCAAGGACATGGCCTTGGGAAACTTATGCCCCTTATTGAATAAGCAGTATAAGTCTGTTTAGTAACCTAACAAGGGAGGGTCTGCTACTGATCTAGTTTCAGGACTTTAAAGATGGCTGTGAGGGTTAAGTGCAGGATCCTTTTTGTCTGTCTTGCAGAGGATGGCATTTTTCTTATCTTCACAGAGATCCAGATTGAACTAGGTCAAATGAGACCTCCTGGGATGGGGCAGAAGGGAGTGTAGCCCTATCAACCTGCTGTTCACCTGAATGGCAACAGCAGGTGATAGAGAAGCCAGGGTTGGAGTGGGATGGAACTCATTAGTGCTAGTTGGACTTAAGAGTTAAATGAGCCTATGTCTGACTGGCTTTTCTTTACTTCCGGAATATTGTTTGATGAGTTAGGGTCAGAGGGACCAAATGGCTTCCTTCTCCAGATCTAGGGTGGCAAGTGACAATGCTGTCTCTTTTCCTTTTGACCTGTCATCATGCTCCATGTAGAACAGTTTCTCATCCTCAGCATTATTGACATTTTGGGCTGGATAATTTTTTGTTGTGGGGGACTGTCCTGTGCGTTATAGGATGTTTAGTGGCATCCATGGTCTCTACTTACTGTATGCTAGTAGCACCCTCCCTAACCCCCCTAGTCAGGACAATCTAAAATATCTCCAGACATTGGCAAATGTCTCCTAGGGGGCAGAGTCACTCCTCGTTGAGAACTACTGACCTAGAAGCTCTGATAATTCCTGGCACCTTGAATGGTCCAGCCTGGGAATCTAGGCCTTAAAAGTGGCTGTTTTTCTTTTCCCCTCAAATGTAGGGAGTTAATCCTGAGAGGATTGAGGCCTATTGTAGAATTGTATCCATTGATGAATAATTAGGACCATAGTGCTTTCCTGTGTTGTGCCTCATTTTCCAGTGGCCAGGTATGTGGGGACAATATTTATTCCTTTCCTGGGGTTTATAGTCAGTACACTTTGAATTAGGGAGCTCTGGAGCAACCTGCTCTTCTGATTGGTTGAATATAAAATCTGCCCATCTGCTTTTTCTGGGATCCTCATAATCAACAGCTGGCCAAAGGGAACAGGTGGCATAGGGAACAACGAGAAATTGTAGGGGCTCTAAGGAGGCTCAAGTTTCTCATGTTGCCTGCTATGAGCTAGAAGTTATCTTCCTTCAGTCCCTTCCATTTGTACCCAGTGACTGTAGCAGGTGAAACAAGAAAGGAAGAGACAGGGAAGACCAGTCTATAGTTGAATAGCTATTTTCCCAGCTATTTCTCATGCTCTGGGTGGGGCATTTGGGCTCTCATAGCTAGACATGGGCTATATTTCCTGTCCACATATCAGAACCCATGGTATGGGGCTAAGTGATTCCAGGGTGGACCTCCCCTTTTCTTAAGGGTACAAGTCTTTCTGTGCTTCCACTTGAGGATTACTGAGGAAGAGAGGACCAGGTCCTACTTGCTCTTCAGTTTTCCAAGACTCCGTCAGCTTGGTTCTTCGTAACTTAATCATTTTATTCTCTTTCTTAACCTAGCCTCAGTTTCTTGGTGCTTAAAATGGACAGAACAGCCTGTGTCATTGTTGAGTAGGGTGCTGTGGTGTGGGTAGTTCTGCACAGTGTAGGGGAGGTTATAGCTAGAGTACAGTACAGTCATATATCACTTAACAATAGGGTTATTTTCTGAGAAATGGGTCATTAGGCGATTTTGTCATGGGAACATCATAGAATGTACTTACCTGAACCTAGGTGGTATAGCCTACTACACACCAAGGCTGTCTGGTACTAATCTTATGGGACCACCATTGTCCATGTGGTCCATCATTGACCAAAATGTCATTATGTGGTGCATGACTGTATATGCATGGTAAGTGAGTTGCAGGTATCTATTTTTAATGGGGTCCTCTCATTTTTGGACCTATGTGAGTTTGTTTCTTAATTGGTATCGTTCATGGTGATCTCTTGGAGATTAAGTTCAGTTCAAAAATAGGTTGCTCCTACTATGTGCCAGCCTCTATCCATTACTAGGCACTAGGGATATAAAGATGAATATGACTTAGTTCCTCTACATGAGTTGCTTCAGATCTAATGGGATAATAAATACACAAATGATTCTAGTACACTTTGATAAATGGTTTAAAGGAATTATGCAGTGTTCCATAGGCACACAGAGGAGGTCTACTTATACCAGCATGGGGGTGTAGAGAATGAATTTGAAGATGGCTTGTGAGCTGACTCTTAAAGGATGAGTAGGAGTTAGCCATCTGAAAAAGGGTGGTGATGGGGGTGAGGAATAGAGAAGGGAGAGGGGCATTCAGGCAAAGGGAGTAGCCTGAAGAAAGGTAAAGAGAAATGAATTGTATGATGTATGTGAATGATAAACAAGCTGATAAAGTTAGAGAATAAAAAGTGGGTTATGAGGTTGAAAGGTAGGCAAGGCCCAATCTTGGAAGGTTTAGTGTGTTGTGTAAGGACTTGGGAGTGTTCTTATAGGTCTTAAGCAGAAAAGTGATGTGATCAGTTGTGCATTTTGGATAGCTAATTCAGCTGGATGTGGAGGATGGATTTAGGTGGGCTAAGACTGGTGGTATGGAGAGCCCTTAAAGAAGCTGTGGTAATAGTCCAGGTGAGACATTATTGGACCTGAACCAGGGCAGTGGCAGTGGAGGTAGAAGGGTGAGGCAGTTTAAGGAATATTTGGAAGTAGCATCAACAGGAATTTATAATTGATTGGGTGACTGAAGGTTGTGGTCAGAGGGTGGAGCAGTGTTGGGTAGTACTATCTGGTGGGGCAGTAAGTATGACTGACTAGTTGTTATTAGTGCCGTTGAATTGATTCTGACTTGTAGTGATCCTGGGTATAGTAGAGCGGAACTCTGCCAAGTCTTTTTGTTCCATCCTCTCACCTTCTGGCGCTATGTCAGACAATGCTCCGCTGCTATTCATAGGGTTTTCATGGCCAATTTTTTCAGAAGTGGGTGGTGAGGTCCTTCTTCTTAGTCTGGAAGCTTTGCTGAAATCTGTCCATCATGGGTGATCCTGCTGGTATTTGAAATACCAGTGGCATAGCTTTCAACATCACAGTAACACGCAGCTGCCACAGTATGACAACTGACAGATGGGAGGTGTGGTTCCCTGACTGGGAAATGAACCAGGGCCATGGCAGTGAGAGTGCTGAATCTTAACCATTAGACCACAAGGGCTGGCCAGTATAAGTGACTGCAGTGGAGGTGAAAGTTGTTGGACTTCAGGATTGGATATTGGCTGGGTCATTGACATTACCCAGGATGATGGAGGAACTTTGTGAATCAAGTCCCAAATTATATAATGAATGTAGGGCTATGATTGGTCATTTTTTTTTTTTAATGAGGAAGATCGGCCCTGAGCTAACATTTGCCAATCCTCCTCTTTTTTTTTGCTGAGGAAGACTGGCCCTGGGCTAACATCCATGCCTATCCTCCTCCACTTTTTTTTTCTTTTTTATTTTTTTTTATTTTTAAAGATTTTATTTATTTATTTATTTTTCCCCCCAAAGCCCCAGTAGATAGTTGTATGTCATAGCTGCACATCCTTCTGGTTGCTGTATGTGGGACACGGCCTCAGCATGGCCGGAGAAGCGGTGCGTCGGTGCGCGCCTGGGATCCGAACCCGGGTCGCCAGCAGTGGAGCGCGCTCACTTAACCGCTAAGCCACGGGGCTGGCCCTCTATCCTCCTCCACTTTATATGGGACGCCGCCACAGCATGGCTTGCCAAGCGGTGTGTCGGGGCACTCCCGGGATCCGAACCTGTGAACCCCGGGCTGCCGCAGCGGAGCGCGTGCACTTAACCGTTTGTGCCACCGGGCTGGCCCTGATTGGTCATTGACAGATTGGTAAATGACAACCATGAGGAAAGATTAGAAGGTGGTATATCCAAATGGTGTCTGAACATCAAGGGTGTACAAGTGGCATAGGAGGATTATAAGCATGCTCAACATAGAAGCTTAATAACATTTGATTTAAATCTATGAGTTTTGGTGAATATTAATAACCTGAGCAGTTATGCTTCTGGATTTGGTTGGATTATGGGAAAAATGAGGATAGGTTTGTGGAAGGATGGGTCTGGGCTGCAGAGGTCAAGGATGCTTATCTCTTTGAAATCTCTTTCACCACCATTTATATAAGGCTTACAAGGTGATTTCACATGTATTTTCTCATTGGATTCCTAACAAGTCTGAGTAGTGGTTTGTTTCATCCCTGTTTTGTAGATGAGGGCAGTGAGACTTTGAAGTTAAGTGACTTGCTTACGGTCACACAGCTTGTTAATGATACAGACAGAATTGAAACTAGTTTTTTTTTGTGTGTGTGTGTGTGTGTGAGGAAGATCAGCCCTGAGCTAACATCTGATGCCTATCCTCCTCTTTTTTGCTGAGGAAGATTGGCCCTGGGCTAACATCCGTGCCCATCTTCCTTTACTTTATATGGGACACTGCCACAGCATGGCTCGACAAGGGGTGCATTGGTGCGTGCCGGGCATCCGAACCTGTGAACCCCGGGCTGCCAGAAGCAGAGTGTGCGCACTTAACCGCTACGCCACCGGGCTTGCCCTGAAACTAGTTCTAACCCTAAAGATTTTCAGTTTCCCTACTATCGGTCCTTAAGTTCGTCTGCTGCAGCTTTCATATTAGAAATGAGAGTGAATTCTCTTCTACTACTCAATTTTGCCTACATTTAAGACGTGAACTGGTTGGGGGCGGTGGGGAGAGCACAGTTCTCAAGGGACCAAAAGCAGTGTTTTGGTGGCAGGAGGAACAATTGAGGTAATGTCTAATAGCACCTTCTGCTGGATATATAGCACTAAAATTGCATATAACAGTCTCACTTAGAGGAAGTGACTATATTTCTCCAGTAGGGTTTGGACTATATTTCTGCAGTAGCATCTGCTGGGTATGGAGAGCTCTAGGCTTTTTTTAATAAACACATTTTTGGGGGGGGGTAAGGAAGATTAGCCCTGAGCTAACATCTGCTGCCAATCCTCCTCTTTTTGCTGAGGAAGATTGGCCCTGGGCTAACATCAGTGCCTATCTTCCTCTACTTTATATGTGGGACGCCTGCCGCAGCATGGCTTGATAAGCCATGTGTAGGTCTGTGCCCGGGATCCGAACCTGTGAACCCCAGGCCACCAAAGCAGAGCACGTGAACTTAACCACTATGCCACTGGGCTGGCCCCCAATAAACACTTTTTAAAATTTAATAAATACTTACTAAGCACTACACTGCACCAGGCATTGTGTTAGGCAATGGGAATATAGGAATGAACAAGACCAGTTCTTGCCATTGAGTGGCTCATAGGTTTTTTCCTTTCCTTACAGTATAGTGGGGATTGCAGCTGCTGAGCAGGGATTCTGGAAAGCATTGCGTACCTGAGCCCCCAGCATGGCGGGCCTAAAGCGGCGGGCAAGCCAGGTGTGGCCAGAAGAGCATGGTGAGCAGGAGCATGGGCTGTATAGCCTGCACCGCATGTTTGACATCGTGGGCACCCACCTGACACACAGAGATGTGCGTGTTCTTTCCTTCCTCTTTGTTGACGTCATTGATGACCACGAGCGTGGCCTCATCCGAAATGGACGTGACTTCTTATTGGCACTGGAGCGCCAGGGCCGCTGTGATGAGAGTAACTTCCGCCAGGTGCTGCAGCTGCTGCGCATCATCACTCGCCATGACCTGCTTCCCTACGTCACCCTCAAGAGGAGACGGGCTGGTGAGGGTGCACTGGGGGCTGGGGACACAGGAATCAGGCAAGAGTTGTGGGAACCCAGGAGTGAGCAGCATAGGAGTCCAAGTGGGAGGAGACATTGATTCTGGGGAGTACCTAGGAGAGTAAGTTATGAGGCCCGTTGGACAGTTGGACTAGGAGAAGGGAGGGGTGTATCTTTTCCTGAATGACTCCCTCTCCCCCTACAGTGTGCCCTGATCTTGTAGACAAGTATCTGGAGGAGACATCAATTCGCTATGTGACCCCCAGAGCCCTCAGCGATCCAGAACCGAGGCCTCCCCAACCCCCTAAAACAGGTGAGAAGACATTAACTTATTTCCATAATCAAGAAAGAGGACACTGAACCCATCATATTCCTAGCTTTGCCAGCTTAAAGGACACTGTCCCCCCATATCTAGCCCCATAAAAATCAGGTGAGGCGTTAATGCTTCACTTAGGTCCTATAATTATTCCCACAGTGTGTCTGCCTTTCGATCACATTATTGCTATTGCTTTTAATGCTAAGTGTAAATGATTCCTTCCTCATTCCAAGAGAAGTGTTTGAAGTGCTGCCTTTACCCTACTATATCTTCTCCCCTTTTGCCCTCTGGTCAGTGCCTCCCCACTATCCTGTGGTGTGCTGCCCCACTTCAGGCCCTCAGATGTGTAGCAAGCGGCCAGCTCGAGGGAGAGCCACACTTGGGAGCCAGCGAAAACGCCGGAAGTCAGTGACACCAGATCCCAAGGAAAAGCAGACATGTGGTGAGGAAGTTCAGAGGTTCCAGAGGTGGAGTAGACTTGAGGGGAAATGTAAAGAACTGCTGGGATGCTGGGCAGTTTATGCTATTCAGTGCAAGGTTCACTTTGATTGCTGTTGCAAAGTGAGGTTGAGTGGTTTAGTCTCTGGGGGGAGAATTCCTCTATCTTTGTGGCAGAGTACATTTCAGCTGTTTTAGTTAATACTAGATCCAAAGGATGCCGTTATGATATCCTTATGGTAGGGTGAACCAAGTCATGCTAGAGTATTAAAATGAACTTCTGTGCCTGTTAATTGGGAAGATATCTCCTAGAAGCAAAAGGTGCTGTTTGAGTGATGGGAATAACCTGACTTGGGCATGGCCCAATCAAGGGAACCTTCTGCATTCAGGCAAGGATTTCAGAGGTACATAGAAAAGAACTAGTCCTGGGGAAGAGGTAGAGCTGCTGTCCGGTGATGTTCCCGACTGTGCTACTCTGCTGTTTAACCTTTCAAACTTGGGTTGTAAACTCACCCCTTACTGCAACCACTCTTATGTATCTTCTCTTCCCCACAGACATCAGACTGCGGGTTCGAGCTGAATACTGCCAGCACGAGACTGCTCTGCAGGGCAATGTCTTCTCTAACAAGCAGGACCCACTTGAGCGCCAGTTTGAGCGCTTTAACCAGGCCAACACCATCCTCAAGTCCCGGGACCTGGGCTCCATCATCTGTGATATCAAGTTCTCTGAGCTCACCTACCTCGATGCATTCTGGCGCGACTACATCAATGGCTCATTACTAGAGGCACTTAAAGGTGTCTTTATCACAGACTCCCTCAAGCAGGCTGTGGGCCATGAAGCCATTAAGCTGCTGGTGAATGTGGATGAGGAGGACTATGAGCTGGGCCGACAGAAACTCCTGAGGAACTTGATGCTGCAAGCATTGCCCTGACCTTTTCCCCCTTCTCACTTCTCTGGGGGACTGTTCCCACCACCCACCTCTGGAGCTTACATACTGTTCTGGGGTTTGTTCTCTACCCTTTCAACCAATCACACCCCTGCCTTTTTTTTTTTTTTTAAAGGAAAAGACAAAGGAAAATGGAAGTGGTGTTCCCCACCCCTCCCTGCACCCATGTGCCTGGGCTTCCCCTTTGTTCCCCTTTTCCACTTATCCCCCTAATGTATGTCTCTACAGCCACCTTGCCACTGAGCCGTAAGACAAATGTATAGAGAGAAGCAAAGTCTATAGAACATAGTCTTTGTAAGGGATTGAAGTGAACACTGCTTTTGGGTGCATTGAGGGGTTATCAGTACTTCTGGCTTTATGGGGGCTCTTAAATTTTGTCTGAAAAACCAAAGGGCTGTGAGTAAGGGAGCTATGTGGAAGGTGGGACTCTGAAGTGTATTTTGGAAATTAATCACCACCCTCTCCCAAATTATAGAATTTTTAAAAAACAAAGAAGCTGTGGCCCTTTCCACTCTCCTGGCCTCTGGTGCTGCTCCTCTCTGCCTTGTTTCCTCCATTCCATGGCTTGAAACCTCTGCCTGGTGTGGTTCCTTTTCTTCCTTTGTCAAACCCTCTTCAAGGGAGTAATAGGTAAGAGGACTAGGTCAGCCTAGTCACCTCTCCCAACTGTGGTGTGTGTGTGTACACACATACACAGGGTGGATGGAGAAGTTGTTGCTAATTAAAATACACTCCCCCTAAAAAGGGGAAGGGGGAGTGTGACACTTTCCTTCCATGTTCAAGTGAAAATAAATAATGTACCCTGCAGCCCTTTTCCCCTTTGCTTTCTTATGACTTGGGCAAAGGGCATCATAGGTGAAAGTGAAGTAATTCAATATCAACTCCTTTCTTCTTTTTCCTTCCCCATCCTCTACCCCCAATCCCACTCCCAAGCTTGGGAGCATGGGGCTGGGACATGCACTGAGTGTTGCACTTTTATTTAGGTGGGGAGGCATGTTGAGTGAGCCAGGAAGCCTAGAACTGGAGCCCAGTCCAGCTGGTACAATACCACCTCCCTTTCAGCTCCCAGAGGAGATGTCCAGACACAGACTTTATGATTATATTTTTTTCAATGCCAGTGCTGCTCAGCCCTCAGCGTAACTTCAGTTTTCATGAAATAAACAGTGACTACATAAAATTCCACTTTTCTGAAACTGAAATCTGAGCTCAGGTGCAAGTTTCTTCTTTCCCAAGAAGCTGAGCCTGTGTTCCATCAAGAGAGTCAAGGTTCCCCAAGTGAGGGGAGCTGTGCCTGGGTCCTGCCTACAAGTCACAGCAACACCAGCTCACAATGGGGGTCTCAACTCACAGAAGTCAAAAGTCTTAAGACCGTGGGTGACCCAGATTGCCATAGAGGTCAGGCCTGCGATGCTGGAATACAGGCAGGTGTTGGCGCAACTGTCGCAGATAATTGAGGTCAATTCGGGCAAGGCAGAGGCCTTGTCCCTCAGAGCAGCGGGCCACCACTGTTCCCCAGGGATCCACCACCATGCTCTGGCCATAACTTGATCTCTTCTCATGGTGGCGTCCACACTGTGCTGCTGCCACTACATAGCACTGGGTTTCAATGGCACGTGCCCGCAGCAACACCTGGGGATGAGGAGATGTGTGTTCGCGTAAGTAGACACAGGTGCTAGTGGGGAAGTGATAAGCAATGGACATTACAGGCCAATATACCCATCGGGGCCATTCTGATAATTGTTTAGGAATGATTTATTTATTCTTTAACATAAGTTAGGCAACGATTTGGGGAATGAATTTTCTCACTAGCTGGGAAGGGGAGGAAAGTCTTTCAACTGGTAGGGCCAAGGGAGAAGAATGAGGTCAAGAGAAGGCCCTTATATTTTGAAGAGGTGTCCTCTTACCTCCCAGTGGGCTGGGCCTGTTACAGATCCAAAAGCTGAAGGGTAGGTAAGTATTTCTGCTCCAGCCTGAGCCAATGCCAGAGACAGTTCAGGGAACCGCATGTCATAGCAGATAGCTAGACCAACCTGGAAAGAAAACGAGCTTACTTAGCCCCCCTGTCCTGTGTGTCACAGCATCTAGTTATACCCCTGCTACCCATTCCTTAGGGCTTCCTATCCTCTACTACCAGGTCAAAGTATTCCTAATTCCCCTCCCTCTTGTTTGCCCACCCTTATCCTTTCACAACTCCCACCTTGCCTGCTGGTGTGCTGACAGGTGACTCAAGACTGGGCCCAGGCAGGGTAGAATTGCTTTCACGCATAGGCCCCTGCCCTGGAATCTCTACGTCACACAGATGTGTCTTCCTGTAAGTGGCCACTACTGACCCTAGAATAAGAGAGAGAAGGAATACTCAGTGCTGGTGCTTTAGAAGCCCAGCTTAGTTGTTCTTCTCCCAAGGAGGAGACAGTTTATAGGTATGAACAGAAGTACAAACACCCTAAAACCCTAGGCCGAGGAAATAGAGTGGAGAAACAAAACAGAATTCTGGAGAATCTTAGTTTAGGTAGAAGAGCCTGCGAAGAGGCAGGCTAAAGAGTTATGAAGTCTCACCCTTGCTGTTCAGAAGCACATGACAATTGTAGATTTTCTGAGTCTGCTCCCAGTCTTGGCCACGCTCATGGAAACCACCCAAGGACAGCCAGAGTCCACATTCCCTGGGAGGAAGGGACACTGACAACTCTTCTCAAGGCTCTACTCATATCTGGCAATCCAGGGACACTGCCCAACAAAGAAACTACCTCTCCCTCCCCCTTTCCCTGATACCTGGCAAGCTGGGTATATTCTCCCAAAAGGTTCCCATCCAGTGGCTCAGACAGGCGTAGCGTCTCTGCAGGATCTCGTGCAATGAAGTCAAATGCCTCAGGCAGAAAAGCCAGGCAAGAGCCCAGTCTGGCAGCCTCTCGAACTAGCTCAGCACAAGTTTTAAAGTTCTGCTGTTTGTCAGGTGTCGATGTTACCTGGCACACAGCCACAAGGGGCAGTTCACAGGAGGAGGAAGAGATAGCCATGGCTCTGGGTCTGTGGATGGCACAGGCAGGACTCACTTCCCAGCATGGGGAAATCCAAGTTTGATGATGAAGGGATCAAATGGGGAGGAAGGAAGGCTGGACTGCCCTTTGATTCTGTTCTCACAAGGCACAATGACCCACCAATCAAATGTTCTGTGGATGGCTGGTACCCCAGTGTTTCCCACCATCCATTCATTTAACAAACATTTATTGAGCATCTGCGATGCGCCAGGCATTGAGGACACAACAAAACACGGTTACCTGGGCTGAGCACAAAGTACTGAGAGTCGAGGTAGCCGGAGTCCAGGACACAAAAGAAGGGACAGGAGCTGGTGAGGAGGCCTGATGATGAAGCCCAGCCTGAGGAAGATGAGAAATCAGGAAACCAACCCGTCCCTCAAGCGATAAATCTCTGGGATTTTCTGACTTCTCTCTTCATACTGTGAGGCTAAATCAGGGCTCTGCCAGTAAAAACTCCCGTCTTCAAAACACTCTTTACTATAAATAATTATGGGCTACAGGAAGAGATCATAAAGTGGGAAGATGGAGAAAAGGGCTCTGCTCGGCACCTGAATACCTCGACTTCTAGTGATCTCACATTAACCTGAAGCCCTTGTCCTCTGCCAAACGTTTCTGCAGTTCAAAAGTCACCCCCGAGAAATTTCCTTGGTTTTCCCAGCCTCTCTCCTTGACTGTGCACCTGCACAGCCTTACTGACTCAAAGCATATTTCCCCCATTACACCACAATCTCTGAGTGGAAGTTCACCCTCCCTGGTTCCCCACCACCCCGTGGTAGGCAAGGGGCACCGGCACCCGAATCCCAACCCGCGCCCCCACTCTCCAGTTGGCCCGTTCTTCCCCGCCTCCCTCAGGGGTAGCGTCTCTGCTGCACAAGTTAAAGCACCACAGGTGGAATTCACCGCGGCCAGCGGGCTAGGAAGTACGTCCTACATGAAGGTACTGCCAAAACCATTCGCAGGATCCGAACCGAAAAGCGGCCTGGAAGCAGAGGCGCCGGGGGCGAGTGGGCGGTAACTCCGAGACCGGACGTGACGCAAGGCGGGGGCTGAGCTGCGCACGCCGGGAAGCCAGCAGGCGGCGAAGATGGCGGAGAGCAGCGGTCGCGCCGGCAAGAGCAGCGGGAGTGGCGCGGGGAAGGGGGCGGTGTCGGCAGAGCAGGTGAGGCGCGGAGAACGCGGAGGGGGCCAACGCGGCTGGGCGCGGAGTCGATGCGAGAAGAGCGGGGAGCCTGAGGCTGGTGCAGGCCCACATTTGCGTGGCCGCCGAGAGAGGGGAGGGTACTTGGAGAAGCTAGCCGAACCCCCGGGGAGAGAGTGGGCGGGTTGGTGGGTGAAAGCCACGCCCCCCTTGGGGTGTTGGTGAGCGTGGGGGAGGGGAAAGCCCTGAGATGCAGGGTCTGGGAGGATGCACAGGTCTGAGGGGAGATAGTCGTCACTTTCCCCACCTCTCCGCACCCTCAGACAGGGTGTGTATGGCAGGGCAAGGCAGCTGGTAACGGATCTCAGGGTATTAGTCAACGGGCTGGTTGTGTAGTTTGTTACGTGACCCTGAAACCACGTTGACAGTCGCCGTCACTCTGCAGAGCCACGTGCGTGACTCACATACTCGATAAGTCTAGTGTTCCATACTATTTTAATTTGGGAGTCATTGTTAGATTGAATTTCTTTAGAGACCGGAAACCGTTTTTAATCCGAGTTTGCATCTCCCCCAGTGCCTGACATCGAGAAACGTTTGATAAATTAATTAGAAAGCCCTTTGTGGCTTGGGAAACCATGGTTTGCTGATAGTGGGGCTAGTGTTTAATAGAGGTAAGAAACCTACATAATATAAAGAAAAACACAGTTAAACAACAGCTCTTTAAATTATAGTTTTATTTATCAGTTATTTGTTGAACAATTACTACAGCCGAGGGTATCTGCATAAAGATTTTTCAAACTGACCTATGCAGTCAAAGAGCTCATAGTCTGGTGGGAAAATAAGACATACAAAATGCTAATATGAGGCAGAAGATAAATTTTGTAAGAGAGGTATAAAGTGCTATGGGGTTTTGGGGAGGGGGGAAAGAGAGAGTTTCTGGCTTAAGGGAAAAAAGGGAAGGGAGAGGGAACCTAATACCCTTTTTGAGGGTCTGCCATGTGCCAGGAGCTCTGGTGGGTACAGGGAAACAGATAAATGAAATAGACTTTGTTTTCAAGTTAGCTCCAGACTCATTTGAGAAAAGACAAACGAAACAATAAGATGTACAGGGTTACACAAAGGCCCTTCTTTATGGCAGCTAGAGGAGGGACCTCTAACTAAGCAGGAGGTTATGGGATTTGAGGCATGGGTGGAGAAGGCAAGCTGTGGTATAGTGGGGTGGCCAAGAGTGTCAGAAGTGCACTGGGGTCAGTGGGGTCGGTCAAACCTGTGTTTGAATCACATTTCTCCTGTTTACTGTCTATAGATGACCTCCCATGAGTTAATTCTCTCCACCTTCCCCTCCTATAAAAACATAATGGTACCTACCTCATCACTGCGTTTGATTATTAGGCAAGACAATGCATGCAGTGTTTTGCACAGTGACTGTAATATACTGTGTATTTAATAAGTGCTAGTTATTTTGTTTTCTAGAGGAAATAATCCTTCAGCTCAATTCTAAAGGATGAGAGAAGTTAGTCAAGCAAAGAAGGAAGTGAAGGATTTTCTAGCTAGAGAGAATAATGTGTTTAAGAGCACTAAGGCATGAAACTGCCTGACATGTTTGGAGTGCAGGTGGAGTTAAAGTTTAGGATGGACTACCAGACTTGAATGTGGAGAAAAAGGGATAAAAGAGGAATCTAGGATGTGTCTCAAGTTTTTGTCTTTGATGGATGCTGGTGCCATAGGGAATGTAGGAAGATGGACCAGTTTGGGGGGAAAATAAGTTCATTTTAGGATTTTGAGTTTGGGTTTCTTGTGGGACATCCTGGTAGAGACATTTAGAAGGCGGTTTGATTTATAAATCTTGAATTACAGAAAGAAATCTGAGTTGGAGATTCAGATTAGAGAACTATGAGTTTATGAATGGTAGATGAAACCATGATTGTTGATGAAGTCATCTGGGATTTGTACAGAAAGTGAAAAAAGAAGCAGAACAAGGGTGGAACGAATATTTAAGGGGTT